ACTCAAAATGCCTCACTAGCTCTCCATGGCCTCCAGGGTAAAGGGCAAGCCCACCAAGGTCTGACCTCTGTGTACGTAGGCAACTTCATGTACAGTGGCTCTCCTTCCTTGCTCTCTGTACTCCAGTCGCACAGACCAGACTGGCCATGATATTTCATGCTTCTGACCTTTGAATAATTTGTTCTCTCTGTTTGGAATTTCCTTCCCACTCTTCTCCAAGACGTAACTTGTCGCTTCCCAGACATTCTTATTTTTCCCTTAATTCTCCCTAGAATTGACTAATCTCTTCTTGGAGCCCTCAGTGTACCCAGCCCATCTCTGTTACAGCCCATATTGTCTTGTATTTCATTTACCTGCATGCACGTCTGTCTCCTTAACTAGACACTGAGCTTCTCTGAGGGCAGAGATTATTTTATTAGTCTTTGAATCCCTAGTACCTGGCACAGTCCTTCGCCTACAGTAGGGCTCAGTAAATATTTATGGAATGAAGGCATAAACACATAAGAATGCTTTAGAATTTTCAAATAAAGAGGTCTGCTCTTTAGGTTGAGTTTGTGGAAGGCTAGCAAGCTGTCTGTCCGAAGAACTCTCAGGTTGTTTCACAGGCTTAGAAATCCAAATTTTCCACACAGAGGGAATGGTCCCCATATTTAGGAGCAGATTCACAATCACCAAGCTCATGCATAAAATCATCAACTTATTTATAATGAGAAATGCAATTGTCACATGTATAGAAATACCGTCTTTTCTGTAACTACCCTGAACTTCAAGATAGGCCTATGTGGGAAGCTGCATTATTCATACATCATTGTTTCACCTAAGCACACTCAATGAAGGAGAAAAAAAATCTTATTCTTGAGAGGCAAAAACAATCTTACCTTTTATATATAAAGTACAGATATACATAAAGTACATAAACAGGTATATAGCTAGTATTAAAGGTATTAAAACTTCATTGGGGGGGGCAGGGTATAGCTCAGTGGTAGAGTGCTTGCTTAGCATGCACAAGGTCCTGGGTTCAATCCCCAGTACCTCCTCCAAAAATAAATAAATAGGTAAACCTAATTAACTCCCCTTCCAAAAAAAAAAAAAATTAAAGAAAAAAAAGCACTTCATTGGGAACTGGAAAGAGAAAGAAAAATGCCATATGATATCACTTATATGTGGAATCTTAAAAAAAGGACACAGATGAACTACTTATTATTTATAATTTAGATGATTGATTTCTTGAATATGTATAAGCACATCTGACTGCCCTTTATAATTGGATTACCGCATACTGTTGATTCTTATTTTGTGGTTGGTTTTATTCCTTTGATAACTATGTAAGTTTGAAAAGCTAAACCTCTAAACTGTTTTTAGAAACGATGAACAGTATACATATGTAAATTAAAAATACGTGCAGTATATTGTGTATATGTATTTACATGCAATATGTGGTATATGTGCAGTCAAATTGTAACAATGCTATCTAGTAAAACTGAAAAATGGAAAAAAATGAAACTGAAATTGGAGTATAGATCGTTTTTGAAAGGAGGTAGGTATACAATACAATAAACTGGGACTATAAAAAGTGAAAAAAACTTCATCAGGAAAGCAATTAAGAAAAAAAAATGTAAAAAAGCTCTTTAGGGCTGGCAATCATGATTTTTAAAAAAAGGCTGAGAAACACTAGTCTAACCTCTATATGATTCTTTCTTAAGGAATTAGAATAAGTGGAGTCAGTTCTAAAATTCAAATATTCAGTGGCATTAGGTTGATACAATATCTCTACAGTATAACAGCCCATAGTGGAGCGACTGTGCTTGAAATTCATTGGCCAAGATTCTCTTCCTTGAACTCAGCTTCAACTGGCTCCAACTCTTCCATTATTATCTTCTCCTTCTTTTAGGCTGACACATTCCCTCTTTGGGGGTGTTATACATATTCTGTATTCCTTAGGAGCCATTCTATTTCCTCAACAACAACAACAAAAAAGGATCCTGCTGGGATCCATTACCTTCTAAGGGTGTATAAAGCCATGTTTAGAAGTTCGGGGATAGAAGTTTGAATCTCTACCATGCTGCCTGCTTACACTCTCTGAGAATCAATTACTGCATCAGTAAAATGGAAGTAACAAGGGGTTTTTAAGGACGAAAGGGTTTTTTAAGGACTAAAAGGAATAAATATATACAAAGAGCCTTGAGCAGTAGCTATTTTTAGGACCAAGTTGGGAGGAAAACCTTGCTGTGTCATTTTGAAGAGTGTGTTTATGTGTGTGAGCTCATGATGAAACAGTAAAGGGTTTCAGAGAAAATTGTTGTCCTTGGCATGTTTATAGATGCTAGAAAATTAATAAAGTGAGCAAACTCCAAAAAAATGTGTTTGGCTGTGTAAAAATAACCAATTACAGCCATTTATGTAACTAACTTAACATTTAAGGCCTAATTATCATGCAGCACAATAACAATTACATATGTCATTAAATATGCATCAGATTAAACTTGCAAGTTTTATTTGATTACAACAGTACTCACTCTGTACTCTAAAGAACATCCTTACAGTTAATTGCTCATAATGCATAAGTCTGTTCACTATTTACATTAATTAAATGGGACAGAACTCCTGAGTATGTTCTGCATTTAAGGTAAGGCTGGATTATCCATCCTTGATTGCAACCACACATTTGCCCTATGACCTGTAAGATAATGTATACTTTGGTTGTGTCCAGTGAGGAAGTTGCTAAAGAAGCAGGCAGCAAAAGAAAATTTTGTTTAATTGCTTGGTTTTCTGGAAACTTACAGGTTTCCAGTAGATAGTTCTTGATTCGAATAATGATAAAATTCTAGTGCTGAGCACTAGCCAACCCAGCCTAGAACAACTTCTAAGCAAGCCCCATGGTCTTACTAGGGAGCACTTCTAGAATTAAAATTACAATTATCATTTATTTGATTCCGTCATGAACTAGGTACTATACATACATCATCACATCCTTATAAAACTCTTATAAATTAGGTATTATTATTTTCATTTTACATATGAGGAGAAGAGAGTCACAGAAAGATACTAACTTGCCTAAATTCTTGAAGGTATTCAAATTCAGGGAAGGCTTCAAAGTCATGCTTTTTCAGTCATATTAAACGGTGCCAGGTTTCTTACAGTTCATATTTCAAACATGTACCAGGTATTTGTAGGTTGCAAAAGAGTACAGACTGCCTGTTATCAAATGATGCAAAATACTTTAGGAGCCTATTTCGAAGGTCAGCAGGTGGAGGCCCTGTCCATCAGGCTGAAAGGTATGCAGCTAGGTTGCCTAGTAGGCATTTCAAATTTTTCTGATAAACAGGAGTCACTCAGCAATAAAGATTCCTGATTAACCTTTTTGGGTTCTCCCCAAAGCCTGCTGATTCTAGAGACAGATATCCCGTGTTTTGTGGAGATCAAAAAGAAGTCAGTGAGGTAAGGAAGAGGCAGAAGAGATGGGTAGCAAAGGGCTGGATTCATGAAGATTCTGCTTAACGGCCATGGTATTATGAAAATTCTGGTACCTGCTAACTCTTCAGTTTTGAATAGTCAGAGGCAGTTTATTAGTTATACCTGGGAGACCTGATTTTCATTCTGGCTGTGCTTCCTAATAACTGAATGACTTTGGGCGAGTGGTTTTACCTCTCTGAGCCTTATTTTTCTTTATCTGTAATATGGGGTGCAGCAGGGTCTTCTAGCAGAATTATTTTTTCCCCTTTTGCTCACCTTTGAGATCTCCAGGGCCCTCTTACTTATGCAGAAGCTCCCCAGACAGGCCTCTGTGTGGAAAAACAGCTTCATGTAGACCTTACATTTCTTTAAGTAGATTAGTAGGAGTACTTCAACCCTTCCTCTGCAGACTGGTCATGACTGAGGTTGATCAAGTTAAAAAAGCAGTCTAGGAACCTCCTGGAAGGAAAAGGACTGATTCCCTAACTCCTTTGACTAAGGTGGCTACAAAAGGAGAAAGATGTGGAGGGGTAGGGGGAACAGGAGCAAAAGGAGGGCAATCATCCTGAATACCAGAGGCAGCAACAGAGGTGGAGGAGGCTGGAACCAGCCCTGAGCTGGGCCGTGGTGGAGCCAGGGCTTCTGGGCAAGTGCCTGAGTGTGCGGACTCACAGAGCTGAGACCTAAGAGCTGCAACTCTTGAGGCTCAGGCTTGTCACTTCCATGGGGGGAAGGCTCCGGAACTGCACCTCTGATTCTAACCACAGCAGCTACGCAGTTGAAGAGGATCTCTTGGAATATTCTGGACTCAATCAATGGCAGCCATGGTCAGAGCCTGACAGTAGGATGCAATTTTCCTGGTTGGGTTTTGAGTTCAACAGTCAACCTTCTCAGTTAGTTAAGAATGGAAGGGCTTGGAGAATGTGCTATGAGACTGCCCTGAAGGTCAATCTTCAAAAATATTTAGTCCAACATGGAATGATCTTGGATACTATCAATGTAAATCTCTGTCTTAAGAGGATGAAAGTTGTGTTTTCAGGTTCCTTTACAGACAGTGTTTAGTGAGGGGAGTAACATGGCACTGAGTCACCTCTGCTATGACAGGTTAAATACAGGGTGCGCTGGAAGCAAGTAACGGGGCCACGAAACCCAGGCTTTGTGGGGAGGTTCCTGAGGAAGTGATGTCTAAGTGAAGTGGAGGTTCCTTAGCACAGGAAACTTGGCAGTAGCAGACAATATAAAGGGAAATGGAGATACTTCCATCTGGGAGAATGAAGTGTAAGATGGGGGAGTGATGACAAAGAAATAGGAAGACACTAGACCCTGAAGGGCCTTCTACAAAGAGTGACCATACAATTAGTGTACAAACAGAGACACTGCTGAGAGTGAAATGAGACAATATTACTAATTATACAGGGAAAACAGGAGTACACCAGGACTGTCTCAAACAAATCAGGACTTATGGTCACCCTACTTGGAAGTCAGGTTCAAGTGACTCCTTAGACCTCCTGTGAAAGCATAAATTGTCGGACATCCTCTCTTTTTACCTTTTACTTTCTTGCCTGAGTGACTTCATCCATAACTTTGCCTTGCTCATTTCACAAACATTTGTCCAGGATGACTTCTGGGCACTGAGGTTCCAAAGAAAAAAACACAGTGTCTGTCCTCAAGCTCTGTTGAAAGAAGACAGGCATCCAAAGAAACAATTCTAATACAGTTGTACAATTTTAGCCCTGGCTTCTCCTCTGAGCTCTAAATTCACTCATGTCATTTCCACTCAGACTGCAAAGCACAGATCTGAAACAGAACTTTTCACTTCCTCTCCAAATCTGTCTTCCTTCAGCTGGCCTTCCACTTCTTCAGCTGGTCTTATAACTGATGCTACTATGCACTACATTGCTGTAGGAAGAAACGCAGAAAAGCACTGCCTGAATTACTGTTATCCTTCCTCTCGCTGTGCATTTTGATTTCACCACATCTTTCTTAAGCACAATGACTAAATTGGGGCTTAGAATTCTAATGAGGGCCTAACATCAACTGAAGAGGAGGGGTAGTTTCCAGATGCTTGAATGCTACATTTTTAATGAACAGATCCCAGTATCACATGGGACTGTTTTTCCACAGTAGTACAACATTGATGACTCATATTCAGGTTGTTGACAATCATGGCATCCAGATCTGGAAACATGCCCTAGCCAGTTCCAAAAATTTCAGTTTAGAGGGGGAAGGGATAGCTCAGTGGTAGATTAGCATGCATGAGGTCCTGGGTTCAATCCCCAGTACCTCCATTAATAAATAAATAAATAAATAAATAAATAAATAAATAAATAAATAAATAAATAAATTTCAGTTTAGGTGAGAAAGACATGAAGAAAAGTCCTACATATTTGACCCTATTTTCTGTTTGCAGAGAAGGTGAGAGCGGTATTAAAGGTGTAAAGGTGTAAAGGTATAAAGGTGTAAAGGGGTAGGGGAAACATCAATGATCATAAACTATCTGTTGAGCAATTGCTGTGTAAAAGGACAATTTCCGCTTTAAAGGGCAATTTAATGTTCTACCATCTATTCTCCACACAACTATCAGAGTGATCCTTTTAAAGCAAATCTGATTATCCCTTTGTTCTCAACCCTTCCATGGTATTCTTGCACATTCTGATAAAACCCAAAGTCCAGCATGGCTTACCAGATACAGGATCTGGCTTCTGCCAATGTTTCCCAACTTGCTTCTCTGATTTGCTGTGCTCCAGCCACACGGATCTCTCTGCTTCTTCTCCGACCTGCCAAGCAAGTCCTATCTCAGGGCCATTTGAACTGCTATTTATCTTTTCCTTTCTCTTCTCCTCTAGAAGTCCACACAGCAGCCCCCTTCATTTAATGATGAGATTTCTGCTTATGATTAAGATGCCTTCCTTGTCTGCCCTATCTGCTAGAGCATCTCCACATCACTCTTATCCCTTTATTCTGATTTTTTCCCCATAAAACTTCCCACATTACTGAACACTATTATTTCATAATATATTATGTGTATTGCTTATTGTCAATCTCCCCTGACTATTATATGAAGCAGAGACTTGGTTTTGTTCACTGCTGAATTCCCAGCACCTAGAACAGTGTCCGTTTTTTTTTTTCCAGAATGAACTTGTATTACTCACATAGTAAAACATGAATAAAGAGGCCGCATAAGCGTAAAGCGTAAATGAATTCTACAAGAGGTTGGGCAAATTTATGAAAGAAAGACTTCTAAATACATGTATTAGCATAATGGTTAAGATAAACCACTGTTTGAATACCCTTCCCAGAGACGGTCTAGGAATATGATCCCAAGTTATTCACAAGGCAGAGTCTAAAGGTCTTCATCTGGAAAATGGGATAATAAGAATAATGAGTGTCTGCCCCATAAGGTTGTTTTTGAAGATTAAATGAGACCATGTATGCAATTCCCTTTGTACAAAGGCTCGCATGCAATAAATACTTGACAAATGGCAGCTACTGTAATAATTAGTAGAAGTAACAAGAGATGTTGGGACATACCTAGCCCTCAAGATTGACATCAGAGTGGACCACCACATCCTCTCATCATCGCGCCTCAATCTGGGCCCTTAACGCCCAAAGAGGGGCTGGTTCTTTCCAAAGTAGATAATTTCGACGTTCCAGAAGCCTCTGAATCAAACGTACCCTGTGTACCCTTAAACCATTCAGGCAGTCTGGTTAATCCATGAGCAGCACTGCAAGACCCGGCTTCGAGAGGCGACCACTGCTTGCCGTCCTTCGGCCCGGTCACTTAGCCTCAATTTCCTCTGAGGCTGCAATAGGGGTGGGGATGGGAATGTTAAAAAACAAAAACAAAACAAAAACAAAAACACACAAAAGCGGGGCGGTACCGGCCTGCTCCACCTCACCGCACTCTGGAGCGGATCAAACGGCACCAGGCAGGGGCAAGCCTGCGGTGACCAGCAACGCGCCCAGGGGGAAAAC